AGTGCCGACATTGTACCGGTGAGGATCATGGTGGAGGCCACAGCTAAAAAATGGAGCAGGACACAGGAGGAATGTAAAGTACACTGAGGTGGCCGAAATTCATGGACGCAGACCTTGATTATGAGTGTGCGAGAATTGGTTGGGCGCAAGCATGGGAAGATAAACTACCCTCTTATCCAGTTCATTACGGGGCAGGTTGTTACCAGATAGGGCAAAAAGTGATGGCCTCTGCATCGACTGTTGAATGAGAGATGACAACAGGCATCCCGTTTTCCAATGGAGGAGGTGGAGCCACGAGAGGGGAGGCCTTGGACTGTCGGAGTCCGATTACTTGTTGCCACTGAGCCTAGAATTAACTGGTCAACCAGTCTTTAATCCTGGCCCTAACAACGGAGGGAGCAATCCCTAGGGTAGGCTCGGACCCGACGAAGACCCCACCACTGCCTTCGCGAGCCAACTCGTCCGCCCTTTCGTTGCCCCCTATTCCGCAGTGCGCTGCCACCCAAATCAAGCTTACCCTATTAGACTCACCTAATCTATCTAGAATTCGCCTGCAATCAAGCGCCGTAGCCGTCGGAACCTGTCTACCGCAGGGCCCTTGACGCCGGCTGACTATCGCTGCATATGTATATATGGTTATTATTGTGAGGAGGGGATCGGTTCTGAGGGTTTCCTCCCAGATCCGTCCGTGCCCAAGGCTGCCTCGATCTTTCCATTCGTCCCAATCGTTTAGCCGTACGGAAGCTTTCCGAGCCTCTGCCTCCACAGCTAAGTGTAAAGGCTCTAGTCGCAGAAGTGCCTCCATGCCCAAGGTTGGCGTGGTTTTTAGGGCTCCAGTGACTCCCAGACAGGCGAGTCGCTAGACCTTTCCTAACTGCTTCCTGTAGGTTGCCCCGCGCATGGCAGGCCACCATACAAGTGCACCATACAGTATTATTGGCCAGTCGAGGGTTCAAGCCCCATGTACAACCAAAAGCCCTTCTACATGCTCATAGACTTTTTTGCTTATGCGCTCAATGTGCCCTTTCCAGGTCAGGCGGGAGTCAACGATGACTCCCAGGTATTTCACTGACCTGGTCAGACTCAGTTGACGTCCTCGAAGAGCGAGCCCAGAAAGATCCACTCTCCTTCTATTCGGAATGAAACAAACTCGGTCTTTTCCGGGTTAACGGAAAGGCCATGGATACTGCACCACCTGTTCAAGAGCCCCCTGCATGAGCTCTTTCACAGTGTTTGGAAACTTCCCAGTTATGACTCCCCCCTCGTTCAAGGTGCGGAGGAGTCCGTCTAGTACCAGGCACCACAGCAGTGGAGACAACACCCCACCCTGCGGACATCCTCTAGTAACCGATGAGCTCATCTCAATCATACCAATTGAGGATATAATGACTTTGCTTTCGAGCATGGCTCGGCTCGGATCCATCTTACGATCGACCCATCAATACCAAAGCTCTCAGCAGCCTCACTAATCGAATCGAACGATGGTGTTGTTAAACGCACCCTCGATATCTAAAAACGCTCCCAGAGCTATCCCCCCGGAAGACATTCCCTTTTCCAGCCTGCACACCAGGCTGTGTAGAGCCGTCTCCGTGGACATACCAGCCCTGTAAATAAATCTCTTGATTCCATAAAGTTTATTTCTACTTTACTGTCCCTTTCATTTGCCAATTTCGTGGCGTATTGTGTTGCGATGTATACTTCCTTGTTCGATCCTTATTTTTCCTGTCTGCTGTCGTTCTCCTTCATTTTTGTAAGTGTTCATGTATATAATTAAGTTTCGGCTTCATACTTGTTTACGCAAACCATGTATCTTTTGTTATGTCTTAATTTTTATCTTTACTTATTTGTTCTTGTAATTTTACTACTTTAGCCCTGGCTCCTTGTATTTTACAATTACTTGTAATCGGTAATTGGTAGTCATGATTTCCATTTCTAGTTGTTCTTCTTCTTCAAATTCCGGCTCATGGTGAATCTTTGCAAATACCTCTAATCGACTGTCTTTAAGATAATTGCATTACTGTTGCGTTTTTTGAGGAATCTTCGTGAGACAGTATTTGCATAGTTTGCTCCTCTGTAGGTGTTTTTTTTTCCTGTGAAAAGCAGAAGCTCTTCTGCTCTTCCTGTTCCCCGCTTTTAGGTTAAATACTCATCCGTCTCGTCATCCGATCCATTAGCCGATGCACGCCATTTTGAATATTTCTGGTCACGCCCCTTCTTCTGTATCGACTTCTTCCTCCTTGACCACTGATAGCACTTAGTGACCTGCTACGTTGCTACCGTTTCCTTCCGGTTTCTTTTGATGCATCTAATTGTGTTGTTGTGACAACCCTGCTGCGGTTTAATTCTTTTTTACATCTCTGAAATACTGTCTTTCCGAAAGAAAAAATTCCCCTTAAGTGATGATTTTGTCCTTTTGTCTCTACATCCTTTAATATCAGCCGGATTAACCGTCATGTGTTCCAGTGGCGGATCCAAGGGGGGGGGGGTCATGGGGGTCATGACCCCCTCTTAAACATTAACCTTTCTTTATTGTGGAATTAAATTATAAGAAATTAATGGAAAATATTGCCCATCTAAAAATCTAATGACCGTTTGCACCAACAAATTTAAGTTGAACCATTGGGTTGAACTTAGCTTAAGTATAGCTTAAAATCCATGGCAACAATTGTCTCCAATAATCCTGCCATGGATTTTAAGTGATGCTTAAGCTAACTAAGCTCTGCTTAAATTTGTTGGTGCAAACGGCCATAAGACTCTAAGATGATTATCGATTAAAAACTATTGTTTGATTTATTTATTCTCGAAATTTCTGATTTTTATTAAAATTATGTATAATTAAACAGCCGATAACAAATATTTTGTGGGGCGATGCGTGTAATCCACGCAGGCGGCCGACTTAAAGCCTAAAGGGCGGCGACAACGTAAGGAAGATTTTTCAATTCCTATTTTATTTTTATACATACAAAAATATGTATACTGTGCAAATTTTCGATTCCAGTAAAAGAAAACTGCCGCCGGTGCCGGCGAACCCGTCTAAAGTATTAAAGTAGACACTGTAAACTGTATGAACAAATATATTGTTCTTATATGCAGTAAAAATGTTTTTTTTTTTAATATTCTGATGTGCACACCACTAGTGAAAAGCTCCAGAAGGCGAGCTGAATTTGTAATATAAATATATTGTTCTTATATGCAGTAAAAATGTTTTTCTTTTTAATATTCTGATGTGCACACCACTCCCCACCCAGTCACAAAAATCACTCCATGACCCCCCCCAAAATCGAAGTCTGGATCCGCCTCTGATGTGTTCGAATGCGAGCTGACTGAATTAGGTACGAGCGGTGCAAAAAAGATCTACTGTGCGTTGATTATCTTACTTGGGGAGCATTCCTTGTAAAATTTCAGCAGCAGCCTTATAGATATGTTTATGAAACAATTTTGCTGCAATTTGAACATAGCTCTGTTCTGTATCTGCACATTGCAAAATGGAGGGGGGGGGGCTTAACACTTGAAAGGTGACTATTTCGAGAATGGTAGTTACGGCCAAACGTTTTTCTTAGTGATGCCAGAGCTTAAAATGCGAATATCCCGAAAAGGAGTGCCAGAAGCTGCTGCTATCGCCATATTTCGGTATCATCTTGATAATCTCCATACATAGAATATCGTTCAATATTTACGGAACATAAAATGGGAAGAGGATTGTAACAGAAGCGCTCCAGACATGACGTCGCCTTTGGCGCTCTGGAATTTTCTACGCGCGCGATAGTTGGATTTGTATAGGAATATTCGAGACTTATCCGGTAATTACGCGAGTGTTCTGGACATACATTGCTTGCGTGTATAAATGGTTGCGAACCGAACATCGCAGTCAGTTTACTACCGAACGAGATCGAGTACGGATGAAACATAGAGTGCGGAAATATAAACTGCGAAGTGTGTGATATAAATAGTCGATATAAATTGTACAGTTTTTATAGTGTTTTAGTTTTGTTTAATAAATATTGATATAAATCGAACCCGAATTTATAAATCACGTTACAGTATGTTTCTACAATTGGACGTAGCGTGTCCATTCACCTTTTAGTGCATTTCAACTTTGAAGGCTAATACCTTTTGTTACGACCACTATAGAAAATGTAAAACAAGTGTAATAATTCCACTATTCCATGGGTTTGAAACCTTTCTACTTCGTAATTTTTTTAGTGATTTTCGAATATAAGTACCTACGCTGCATTGCGTATGTAAAGTATTATAAAGCAAAGGAGGCAAGATATTATGCATTTTTCCAATTAGCAAGAACAAAAACCCACAAAATGGGCTCTCTTTGTCGTCAATACGGAAAAAGGTTTGCGGTTTTCGGCGTGTGTTGCGTTCCACTTTTCCTAGAGAACTATTGAGTTTCCTATTTTCGTTTAATGAAGCCATGTCGATAAAACACGAGGGAACACAATACTTGTTATGAACTACGCCAAATATTCAATTACTAAAGCGGAACAGAAGCTGATTGTACATTTTATTTCGTATCATACCTAAATGATCTTGTAATATAATTTTCTGGTTTACATTTAATAAGATTATGTGCGTCAAATCCGTGTTAAACACCGCTTACGCAAGGGGTAGTCGGTTGTAGTATATTGCCCTAATACATCGCCACTTAACCTGCGGGTAATTGAAAATTATTGCAAGGAAACTTTCTCCGGTCCATTTTTAAATAAATTGTTGAACGTATCGTTGGAAAGGAAAGAGTTTTAATTAAGATGTTACCAAACAATGTTCGAGTGGAATTAAGCAAAGTTTTATTTTGATTAATTACGAGTTCGGCGACAGGGAGAATATACAAAAAAAGGAAATCTTTTGAGGTGCTTGGTAAAATTATCCTTCTCTAAGTGCTCCGTAATGAACTTACCCCCAGCGACGTTCTTAGGCTATTGATCATTTAATATAATTATGAATGGTAACGCTGTTACATTTTGACTCGTTTTTATGCCTTCGCGTGAGGGAGGCACTCGAACAAAGCTGTCTTCCGGAGTCGCTCAAAATTCATAGTTCTTCCCTACATTCAATTTGGACCGTTTACCACAAACGCGTCTAACTTATGATGAGTGCTTAAACGCGACGCGTATCTGTAACGGTGCCGTTCTTCAACGAACGGACGGCGGCGTCGAGACCAGTTAACCGCCGAAAGCGTTGGAGGCAGCATAGAATTACGCTTTTCCTCGCTTACGGAAACGTGTCGATGATTACCGTTTCGATCAAATTTTGACAACCACTTACAGGTGAGTTTAATTAAAATTCGCTCGTAACGGAAACACATAATTTTATGCTTAAGCTGTACACGCATTTGATTGGCCGCTTTTTTGCATTTTTACGACTATTGCATTGAAATAACGGAAATAATTTGCCATAAAAATTTACGAAGATTACAAAATCAATGCGTAAATTACTTGGGGGGCTTTTATATTTTAGAAGCGATTCATAATATACAGTTTTTCAGGCAATATAGTGGTACATTACGAGCAGGAAATGTGTAAATTTAATTCCATAATGGATTTAGGAAAATTAATTTCGTTTTCGTATAATTAATAGCGCTTTACAAGTATGTGTGTACATAAATCGGGTTACTAATTCATGTTTGGGAATAGTTCGCCAAATTTTAGTGTTGTTTGTTGATGATAAATTATTATGCTGTCCTTCGGTGATCCCTCGTTTAAAAAGCTTGTCTAAGTCGAATTGCGTTCGGTAGGTACGGTATAGCATAAAGGATAACAGAAAATAAATTATTTTCTATTTCCATCAAACGTAAATGAGCCGACAAATTGACGGTGTATATTGCAGAAGGGAAAAATTTATTTAGTTCTCAGCAGACGGTATGTCCATCTTTGTTTATGTCTTTTAGGGATTGATTTTGTTGTTGGTTAAAGAAGTTCCTAAATGAACAAGTCGAACATTGGTACAATTACGGAGTTTAAGTAATTCAACCTAATCGACGCAATTAAAATACGCGCAAATTAAATTCGAGACACCTCATTATAAAGCGGTCACTGCAATTAGCACAAAAAAATATCCACGTTTTTTTACACGTCGCAATGTTATGAATAGTTAAAAATAATTGGATTGATTTTGTGCTCGATTTTGTGTTTAACTTAAACCGATCCCATCCACACTACATTATAATGCGGTTGAAAAAATGTAATTATAACAATTAAGTTTTAATGTAGGCTTGTCTGTTTACATTTTCCACGGTTTGCACTGGAAATGTGAAATTGGACATGCGGTAACTAATTATAGAATGCAGTTATAAACAGCCCACAAAGAAAGAATAATTTACAATGAAAAAAATCCAGAAGGGTTGTAAGTGATTCAATCCAGTACCAAAGGGGGAAAATTTTTGTCTAGCGTTTTGTTATCGTTAAAATTTATGTAAAATGGCCAAATAATCTTTTGATAGACGTCTTATAAATAGAAAATTAATTCCAAAGAGATTTTCCAATTTTTTTTGTAGGTACTAGGTACTAAAATATCAGGTGAAGCTGTTAAATTCATCTTTCTAGGTTGTTAAGAAAAAGTGTTGTGGTACAAAATGCTTTATAGCCTAAAAAATCTGTAGGCACACAGGGCATTCCTTAACATTGTGTGTATATCGACATGGTTTTTTTAAATAGAATACCCTATGTATTTTTGGATTTTGGATTTTATTTTTTTTAAATGTTAGGTATTATTTTTAGCGTTTGCGTTTTGTGCGTCCCCTTCTGCAGTTTTGAACTACTTTTAGAGGAAGTATCCTAGAGCCCCGGAATTTTTTGTAATAAGTAGCCTATACCTTGAATGGGTTCCAAAGGGGCATCAAATTGCGTTGTCAGTTGCATACATTTGAACTTTTTCGTCGCAAAGGATATCTTTTTCTTCACAGTAGTTAGTTGCAAATTTGTCTCAATACGCCATTGCTTTTTGCTTGACTTATTGTCGGCCTGAATAAGGGCTCTTGGTAATGGATATCATCTTACTTCTTTGGAGTGTTTCTCTGTATTTCTGATGTATTGTGGCTGCTCCACGGAAAACGCTTAGCGGATTTATATTTGCAAGTAATTGGTGTGAGGTATGCACGGATTATGATTCAGAATTATTCTTAATACGTATTTTCTTCGCAATGTTCTCTCATACTTTCCTCATAGTTTTCGTTTTCTCTTCTGGATTAAGTACTTTTCCTTTGTTATTTACCTGGATATTACGTATTACCTACGCAGAACCTGAATAATATCGCATTTTTACAGGGACCCGTCATCTTGGTGAGATTGAGAATAGCGACGTCACGTAAGACATTACCAACTTCGAAAATTTGCACCTGGAGATGTTGGAAAACATTAGCTGTAAAACTCGCTTTGATATTTCTAATTCTACATACATAATTTTCTCGTCTTTACTTTCTGTTCACTACGAAGATGCATTTTCTGTTAGTTTGATTACGATTAGTCACACCGAAGAATTTATTCGTATTAGTTTATTTACATTATAAATTAATTAGATTTTCTTATAGTTATATTAAATTTAGTTATACCGATTTGTACAGACGATCCGTTGTTGGTCAAAATTTTGCGTTTGTTTAGTTAACTTAAATTAAATTATTGATTCTTATTGAGTATTAATTTCCGTTTTAATATACGATTTACCCTAGTGTTAGACGTTAGACATTGTACCGCAATATTTAAGTGCCGCGCTATTCGCCCTCCTGTTTGTTTGTGTTGTTATCTGTTGAAGATAAGGCAGAAAAGTGCGCTTCTGAGCTCAATAGGCCGTTATAACCAGAGTTCAAAGCTAATTTTTTATTTTCGACGTTTCTACATTTGTATTTTAGTAATTTAGCAATGTTTTCTGCGAAAGCCTGTTTTGACATAATTCTCATACTACGAGTTAATCCCTTTTTTCTAAAAAAAAATTGGCATCAATTTCAAGGTTGACATTTCATATCTAGATGATTTTGAGATCATTTATTAAATCACCCTCGATTGTGACAACAAATTATTGTATAGCAATAAGAGGAGTCGCATTACCTTCATTTATTAATTTTAGCGCCATTCTCTAGATAGCGAAGATTTCATTAATAGTGCACAGGATGTGGATGCATAGGTATCAAAGCATTTCGTAAAAGAATCGCGTTAAAAATATCGTCCTGGAGTATGGGACTGGCAGGGAATATTTACGACCATACTTGTTAAAATGTTTGAGTTTTGATTGAACTTCTGGATAGCCCTTCGAGAGTCGTGAAAGTTTCTCTGGCAAGGTTTTGACTGGCGTCGATCATAAGGAAACTATGAACGATATTTCCTGATAGTACTCAGAAACACAAAAACACTTTCTTGTGGAGAATTGGTGTTTTGGCTAGCGTTCTAGACAGCCTCAATACACTTTCCATAATGGAATTCTGTGCTAAACATTTGTAAATGCTCTTTAGATCTCATAAGCCAGTGGAAATCTACAAAAATACAAGTGCATCCTATTTATCATACTACCCATCTAAGGTAAAACAAGTACAAATTGTGCACAACCCTTATGTAGGTAAAGCGCATTTTTTTAAACACTCCTACGAAAGTTCTTCTATAAATAAGAAAGTTGGCACTGCACATCCTACACAAAACCAAATTTGGAAGATGGCACTACGTTTGCTTTTATTCCAAGTGGCTATGTATCAAATTTCATTTGAATGCCTCCATAAATAAGAAAGTTGGCCCTGCGCTTGCGCAAAACCAAATTTTGAAACTGGTGTTAAATTTTCTTTTATTCCAAGTGGCTATGTATCAAATTTAAATGCCCAATGGTTATATTTCTTCCAAACGTCCCAATCGCTCTTTGTAGGTACCTTTCTTTGACAATTCATTCTTAAGATATAAGGAATTATAACCGATCACGACAAGGGATCGAGGAGGAAGACTATGGACAGTATAAATTAATTCCTTTCGTTGAGACCTTTCATTAGAGTACCATGAAGGATAAAAGTAGTTCCACCCCCCTTTCCCCTCCATCCCGTACTTTGATAAGAGGACAGAAAGAAGGGCAATAGTTTGTAGAAAACCGTTCCTTTCGTTGAGACTTTTACTTAGAATACAATGAGAGATAAAATTAATTTTTAACCCCCCCACCCCCCTCAGGCCCCGTCGCTCACTGATCTCGAAAAAGAGTCGCACGGGAAAGTCATCGTTTGTACAAACCAATTTATTTCGATGAAATTTTCATTAGGAAAGGTAGAACATGTATTTACTCCCCCCCCCCCCCCCATTTTCTAAAGTTTAACTTGGCAGGCACCACTAAAGCCATGCCTATGCAAAATCTGAGACCAATTGGTTGTCGTATGTAAAAGTTATGCACGTTTTACTTTCAAAAACAGCATCTCAATTCTCAGGAAATAATTTGTGGGGGGCCCCCCTTTTAGACAGAAAATTTGATGGCCGTCTGGCACACCTTCAACGTATAGGCTACCTACTGCAAAAAATTCCAGGACTCTAGGACCACTCCCCTAGAAGTAGTTCAAAACGGACGGACGGACGGACAAAATGCAAACAATAGCACATTTTTTTTAATTCTTAAAAAATCCACTAAAAAAAGGTAAAGCAGCCTGTTATATAATGTTTACGTAAAATCCAGTGGCGCAGTAAAAAAAATTTTTGGAACACCATTTCTGAGATTTGACCTAATGTTGGTATTCTTTTAACGCAACACCCCGTATATCTTAACATCAATTTTTTGCATTACTTTTCCTGATTACATTGATGTATCACAACATACACAATATTCTTTTAATTTTATCTATGCACCAAAAATAGAAACCTAATTTTTATGGTTTTTAAATAGTAGGCCATGGATTCATGGAGATTTTGTTTTGTTCGTGGTATCCATGGTAAGGCATGCGATACCAATCAATAAAAATGACCCGTTATCTTGAAATTTATTCAAATCTGCATACCATTTTCTAATTTTCCATAAAAAGTGTCTGAATAGTGTTTTCGTTAGAAATGTCTCGTACGCTTCGTACGTTACAAGTTCGAAAGACTTTGTCTATTTCAAGTGCTGAAGGAATATGTTTCTGGTTAAAATTTACATTAGAATCCCAGATAGTACCTTTTTGCTTTTTGCTGTGCCTATATAAATACTTGTTATGTATTATGTGGTAAATAAGTACTGTCGTATTGGTATATCTAAAACTTAATTTGCGTAAATTTATGACACGAAAAGTTGGGAAAGTTGTGTTCAGATAAAGCGTTAAAAATTTAAATGTCCCATCATAATGAAAATCCATACGTTACCTGAATTATATCTTTAAATCAATAAATATTGACTTTTTATTGGCCCAATTACAGAGTGACCCGCATAATGCTTTTTAGAGGTGCCCCTGCAGAAAGCCTTGAGTTGTTCTATACTACTCCTGCATTTACCTTACGAATTAGGAAAACTGCAGGATAACCTGTCTGTTTTTATCGTAGGGTGTGTTGTTCATCTGCTGCATATAGGTATCAAACAAAAGCTTATAATATCAGGAGGTGAACATTCCTCATTCGACCTTTTAGGCGCTATAGCAACTCGGGCGGTGAAGAAAAAAAAGAGTGGAAATTCTATTACTACAGATCGGGTCTCTTTTATTCGGAAAGCATTTATTGTAGAATCAAAAATCGTCCAATTTAACTCATTTGTTTTTATTGAAACATCATAGTAAGAAATCAGTTACTCGGAATGGCAAGTACTCATTTGGAACTGGTTTCACAACTAAGAATTTTGATCATTCCGTCTCACATAATACATTGTAGCGAATAATCCCGAAATTCCGATAGACGTCGAATTGCATTTCAGATAGCTCCAACTTCAAATTTCAAATAGTTCGCGCTGTTATAAATTGTGCATATGTGAATGACAAATAATATGTTACTGTTATAAATCAATTCGTTTCAAGACTGTTGTGAATTTATTGCGATTTTTCAAGGAACTATTCTAATGATTTATCAGGAACTATTGATGGTCGTTTTAGAAATCTTTTCCTTTCTAAGATTTATCAAGCACTATAGAACTTGATGTGGACCTCCAAAGCTATAATTACAATTGGCAAATTTTATAAATAAGAGCACATAGGCTGGGCATCGTATACCTTACAAAACCTTTTAAAAGTATTGAATTTCGACGCTTTTGAGTTGAAACAAAAAGTAAATTTCCTGTTTGCCTGCATAAAAATTGATTAAAACGGAGCGGAAATTAGAAATAAAGCTCTCAAATTAATAGAACTGTTTACTTGAACTTCCCGCGGCGTATTATTTTTCACTGTTTCACATCCATTCTTCTTTGCATATTCGTATATGTAGCTGTAAATCACTTTAAAACCGATAGACGGCATAGAGCCAAAAATACGTTTCAAGTCAGATACATTACTCTGGTGTATTGCTTTCGTTTGAAAATTTGAAGTTTTTGGTCACGGCAAAAGTTTATCGTGTACTTCTTTTTTAGATGGCAACGTTCAAATGCCTTGAATTGGTTCTGATCATCGGAAATCTAATCGCAACAACTAATAGCTTAAGGTGCGATAGAATTCCCGACGGAGTTACTGGATCGCCCAGTTTGCCGGAAGATTTTTTTTATATAGAAATAAGTGGAAATCCAACGGAATACACACCTGGGGAGACGTACACGAGTAAGTTTTTTTTTAATAATAGAAATTTTTGACGCTTACATCGATCTGAACATTATAAATCATTCACGTACCGTAGATAGCATGCGAGCATTTTCAGAAATACACTTTTTACATAGAAGTAGTACGAAATGTGCAGTAGAAATCCATATAGATCTGGCGATAATTCTCATCCTTAACTTTATATCACGTTTTTCATCTGAACTGAATGTGAATTCAATATGGGTTGAACTCCATTCTTCCTACTTCAAACGGAAATAACAGGCTTGCAAAATATATCACGTGTTTGAGAAAAATTGGTTTTGACTTGAAAAGGCTATTAATTCAATTATGTAATCGCGGAGCTTAAACTTGGCTTCACTTGAACTGAAAGTGAATTATATCGGTAAAAGCCTCCACCTATTTATAATTCACTGTTTTAATAAAACGGTTTTTTGAAGAACTTCTGAAGTGCACTACATTTAAACGTCAATAAGTTGAAAAGGGAACAGTCAAGATAGCGTTTTGTGGGAGAAATTTAATTAGACATAAGATCGATGGGCTCTACAAAAGACTGGAGTTCTAATCAAACTTATACTAAAAGTACAAAAGATTTATTTTTAAGTACCTCTGTTTAAAATACCTTTACGCATTTAATTAAACGCTTCCTTATTTTGTATTGCAAATATTTTTCGATAATTAGGGGCTTAAAAGACTGAAACAAAATTCATTACACTACAAATACCCAACTTTCTCGTCTTTATAAGGCTTTAGTACGATCCAAATATTTGGTTACAGAGCTTCTACGATTAACGATCTTTTACGGCTTTCATTTTGGCACTTTACCATAATATACGCTACGTACATTTTTATATTACTCGCTTCCGGTCCGTTGCAAGTACTTTATATGAGTAAAATTGCCCCAAATCTAAATGCATCGGACGCATAGTCCTACTAAATTTACACCGACCACCGTCACTTACATTTTTTACGTGATACACAAAAGGTGTTTGTGACGAAGACACATCTTCAGTAGGGTGAGACTTAAAATTGTTGGGTATGGTCCAGTAAATCTAGGAAAACGGATGTTTCGGCGGTAAGACGTTTCGGCGGACGAAGCGTTTCGGCAAACGGAGGAACTTTTCGGCGGACCGCGCACGTACTTATCGGCGGAGGGACGTTTCGGCGGATTGTACAGATTGTAAAAACCTAGGTAAAAACTGTTTACGCACCATATCGGGATTTCAATGCCAATTTCTTTATATCGAAATGTCTTCCCCCTAATTAATTTAGAGCAAAGTTTTAAATAGGTTTCTTGTACTTTGGAAAATTATACGTCTGCTAATGCACTTATTTATTATTTTTCAATTCGGAAAACCGGAATAATCAAATACATTAGAATTTAGCATTTGCGTAAAAGTCGAATTTTGGTTTAATAATTTCACAGCACGAGTACAGTGGCCCACCCGTACTGACTCGGACCCGAAAAAAATGATTAACGTTTCCATGAACAGATTGCGAATTGCGCCGTGAATACGGTCCACGGATCTTTTCACTTTTTCCCCATTTCTCCAAATACTCAATTAGGAACATTCACTTTATTTTGGTAATATACAGGCTGTTTCAAATGAAGTCGGCACTATTGCTAACTTTCTTAGTAGTAGAGTTGGAAAGACGGTTTATTTATTTCAACTGAATCTAAAATCTGTAACCAAAATAACAAAACAACATCCCATTTTTCATTTAAAAAAATGTGACTTGCTTTTATATAAAACATCCGGTATATTATTACAGTATATGACAGCTTATTAAGACATCTACAAAATTTCTTAGTGCACTATAGCAAAAATACCAAAATTATTCAATTATTTTCATTTTAATCTAGTTATACATGAAAATGATAAAAGTACATAATAGTACATATTAAAAAAATAACTGGAAACAAGGCTTATTATATCTTGTACCTTACCTTATAGCAAATGAGGATAATTGAAAAATCTTGGCCTATGGCGCATTTTTGCTTATTTTTATTTGTAAAAAGGTAGCTTTTCCCACAATCTCCAAAAATTGATTCACAACTTTGCTGTAAAACAATTAGAGGAGCAAATATTTCAATATAAAGATATTACCTATGGTACGTAAACCAATTTTACACCCTGTATAGTATATATTTACATGCTGATTTAGAGCAAAGGCAATTGCGAATGAATGAGTACTAGCGTCAAACGCAAAATAGATGTGTGGGTGCACCATCCTGTTGAAACCAACAGTTTCCAACTTTTGTTTTTTTTTGTGTGTGCCATATATGGTTCTATTCGTAATACAAAATGCTACTCAATACAGTATGTACTGTTTTACGGACCGCATATAAAGAAATACCTAAAGTTGATGATGATTTCTCCGATACGAAACGTTGCAACATCTCTTAACGCGGTCTTATAGAGCTCAAAAACTGGCAATGAGAAAGTGTTTTTATTTTTTGTATCTTTTCAAATAATATTAAAAAAATAAACAAAACGAAATCGGTAAATTTCGGTTTTTTTGACATCTAATAGGTATTTTCCGGTTTCTTTTAAAGCATGATAATAACTCTTTAATTGCGCATCTTTTGTCTAATTTGCCCATCGTCATATCTTCTATGGTTTCGGAGATTCCCAATGATATCCATAGAACCCGTTTTTTTGTAAACGATATTCTTTTACAAAACAGATTAATAGAAAGAAATGAGGTAGTGTCACAAAACAAAATACCTACAAAAAAAATTGACACTTAATTAGTTTCGTTAAAACCACGGTGTAAAATAAGAGAGGTGAGCTCCTATCTTTAGTACCTACAAGCGTAAAGTGGATCCAGGTTATAGTGGATACAATGTCTGAGAGACGTACGAGGAGCACCTTTTCAGAAGTGTCTCTTTCCAGGGGTTTACATATTTTTCATGTTTTGGAAAAGACCTAAAACGTTCTGGGAGTGCCGTAAAAGGCTCTCTAACACATTTTAACTGCATTTCATAGTGTATTGCAGAGCATTCGAGGTCTTTTAAGAACCTTCAAAACCTTTTCCAAAGCGTTATAGCACTACTTTTCGTATGAACTTATAGCCTTATACGAGTATGTATAGCCTTTATATAACCATGTAGCTCTATTACAGGGCATTCTGTGCTCTTTAGGTCGTTTCTAAAACCTCTTGGTAACCTACAGATAGTTTTCTATACTCAGCAGTGCATCTCAGGTCCTTTTCAAATCTGTACAAGTCTTTTTTAGGGTCTTTTCAGAACTGCTTAATATGCTTACCTAGCACTGGGAAGGTGGAAGTTTTAGAAAGGTCCCAATGGGCATTCAAGATTCGTTTTCTTGTACTGTTTAGGTTTCTACTAGAGCAATGTAGGCACTTTTAAACGCTTTTGTTGGTCATGTTAGAGCTTTATATGCTCTTTCAGCGTTTTGGCGGTTTCTAGTCTCTTTCGCAGTGCACCTATATGTAACCGACTTCTAGGATGTTCGAGGGCTTTCCAGGCGCCCTTCCGGCGTTTCAGACCGTACTTTGATCTTTCCAAGGATCATTTTCAAACTAAGGTCTTTCAGGAAAATTCTGAAAAAAGGGAAATTTCAAACGGTACCTAACATGCTATGGAGAGTGGTACCAAGTGGTACCTAATTTGAATTGCTTTGAATGAATTCGCTACCAAATAAGCTTTATTCGACGATTCTACACATGTCCTTCCATTTTTTTTTATTTATACCTTTATTTTCGAATGGGCGGGGTTTGAGCCAAACCTGCTCTACCAATCCAGCCCACTATACATTTACAAATATCCATGCCCAAAACCGGATTCGAACCAGAGGCCAGTAATGTAGATTTTAATGTCAATCGCGGGATTTAAATTGTCGAGCTCCGCCGCCAATTTGGAGAGGGGATAAAAATGTTCGTGGTCTAGATTTCTAGAAGCTGAAGTTTTGCCATTCTCTATTGACCCTATTTTGAATTTGAGAATTATTTGAGATAAGTATCTTCTTTACTTCTTTACTCACATTCGAACTAACTTTTTCTGATTACAGAAAGACCGTTTTAAAAACATTCCACAAACTTTCTACTTCACTTGAATATAACTTAAATCTTTTATTAAGATTGCACACTTTGCTTCGAAACCGACGAACTGCGTGTTAAACAAAACGAATAGTACCTACAGCCTGGCCATCCCCATTACCACTAAACAACATTTAATTCTGTTTTTCTTAACCCGTATCTTCAACCTATCGCCGCTTCATATATTCTTTCCGTCTTGGCATCAGTCTCATCAGAAGAGGGATGTAAACGAAAGAGAGGTTTGGTTTTCGAATTTACGCCGAGTTAAAAATTCGTCCACTTTCCTAGAAGATAGTAGTAATAATTATTAACTAGCCTCGTTTTTCCGTTGTCTCCAGTGTTTAAGGAAACACCATCAAATAAACTCCTTCCTCGAGAATTTTCCAATCAACCGCCAATCAACGACGGAACGCGCCAAACGTCCCCAATTCCCCAATATCAAACGCGCAATTCTTCCAAACACCTTATCGCTTAACAGCGTGCGTTAATTAATTTTCGCCTTAAGACTCCTTACCGTAAACGACCACCAAAAGCCATAAAATTTAAACAAGAATTACGCATTTACAAATAATTCTAAAAGGGAAAACCAACACTGAAATTCAAATTCAAATAAAACGAACCAATTCTGTGCTTATTCCGTAAATAATCCTCGGGATTTAATTAATAAATTGAAATAATTCTCATGCACAGGACGTCCCATCATTATTTTTGGCGTTTAGATCGAAATAAAGTCTGCATAATGTATTCATTGTAACATCCCCAATTAATAACGAATTGGGACAATAACGCAGGTATTGTGAAATGAACCGACGTGTTTGTATTTGAAATTGATCTCCCGTTTTAAATTTATAACTGATTGTTTGAATAAAGGATTTCCTTTGATACCGAGGGGCGACGGTTCGCATTTCCTTAACGAAAAAAATTCATCTCCATGCGTTTCC